TCTTTTGTTCTTCACAAGTTCATTAAACTTTGGTAACTTTGTGTTTCTACAAAGTTTGTTGGAATCAGTAAGATTCTTTAGACATATATTAACAACAATTCTTCTTTTTGAGAAAAATATTTTGTATATTTTTCCTAATCTGTTTTTAATTCTAGTTTTGCTACTAGTTTTAATTTTCTAATTGTGAAAATATTCTTAAACTTTGTTGTCTTACAAAGTTTTTCAAAGTTTTATTCTAAGTATGTTAGAAATACAAAATAAACAACATATACATCCTATCGAACCACTCTCAAGTCTTTAATCTACTAGTTAGATTGTTGAATAACAATTTATTCAATAGAGAGGAGGGAAAAAAAAGGTTGGTGAGTCATAAAATCAATTGTTACTAAATCACAGGGACTGATGGTGTATACAGTGAGATACACTTTGATTATATATACTCTAAAATAAATTTAAAAGCTTATTGAGAAATTCTCTTGCAATCAAATGAATTTGATTAATGTTCAATCCAAACTAATATACATATCAAGTGTCACCTTAGTTTCTGCATCTTTATATTTTATATTCATTATCTAATGTTGTTCTACTCTTTGCTAAGCAATTGGATATCATAAAACTGAATACTACGAATCATATACTTTTAGTACTTATTTTTTCATAGAGTTATAAATTTAAATGTTATAAAACTAAATACTACAAATCATAAGGTTTTAAAGTTAATGTTTCTTTTATACTTTTCATATAATTCCAAATTTAAGTATTATGAAACTAATACTACAAATCATAAGGTTTTATAATTAATGATTCTTTAATATTATCTAACATGGCATTATTTTCTCAAAAAAAAAAACAATACCTTTTACTGATAAAAATTAATATACAATATTTTTTGAATTTGGGAATAATTTAAATAATTTTTGTTTGCAACAAATTTTAAATATATGGAAAATAAAAAAGTCATACAAATAAAATATGAAGAAACATAATTTTATTGATAAAGATAGATTGCGGGTACAATTCTGTTGATCTCTTGATTCTACTCTCCTAAGATTTATCCATGATTCGAGGGCCGTTAGTGGCGTATTTCTCGAACTAGGATGATTTAGATTTGACCTCTCTATATGAATAATCTATCAATTGCGGAGTATTCGAGATCTTGATCTCTATGTGGAATATATGGAATTTCCGAGATAAACTAGGATTTATAGTTGAGTAGCCTCGAATAATCCTTATTTGAGTTGAACACAATTTGTAGAGTCTCAACTCGAATTAAACGCATCTTGTAGTCCCACAAAATTTTAATGTATACAATTTTTTACTAACAAAATTTGAAATTTCAAATGTGTAATAATGGTGTATACGTTTTAATATAAAATATATAAATCTGATATATTTGGAGGGAAGTTAATTAAATGTGATATGATCAAACACTAATTTTCAAATAATAAAGAGTTCTTTTTTTTTGAAAAAAAAATTAAAAAATTCTCATGAAAAGTTGTTTTAAAATCAAAACACCAAAGTGTTGAGATAATTATGGATAATAATAATTTGTGGCCGACCATATAACCAGGTTGCTATTTCTATATTTCGACCAATCCCACAATGAATGTACCCTTTTTGTCTTTTAATTAAAAAAATAAAATTGATTAATAGTGATGGGTCACAAACACGTGGGGTAAAATAGGTACTATAAGATCCTCTAATTACTTTATTACAATAGGTAAATTAAAAAAAATATTAATTATATCATGGAGCCATATACACCCACCATTCTATAAATTATAATAATTAACATTTCATAACAACAATCAAGTTAATTATGTTATAATTTATATTATATATTTCATTATAAAAAAGATAAATAAAATTTACAATCATATTAGAAATTCAAAAATCAAAATTAGAAATTATTTTCAATTGTATCGTTATAAACAGAAGTAACTAAATAAAACATACCTTGTATTTATAACTTTTCTAAATGGATGTGAAATAAACTAAAATAACAGATATAATGAAACAAAGAGAGTATGCAATAATTTGATTGTTTATCACGATAGTAAATAAGAGAAATGAACACATATGGTTGATATAAACCCTTACACGCTAAAAAATGTTTAGCTATCGTAATCCTTATTCTCGATATATGTAAAAAAGAAAAAGAATAACGAACTTATTTTTGACTTTGCATAAGCAACTTTTAGAAAAAAACAAAAAAAAAAGTTAGTAGAGTATCATTTTAAGCACGTTTTCCTTAATGGACAAAAAAAAATGTATGGCTTCGAAGGAGTTTCCGACCACCAATAAGGAACAAGACTATTAACCTTCTTGGAAATTAGTTAAAAACACCAAAATGTGCAAATGTTATTATTATTTTTATGATTTTCGATTAGGTGTTTGATCTTTGAATTCAAATTAGACTGAATTTGGATTTTATTGAAAAATCTAAGATGAACGCTCTCTCACAAAAGTAATTTCATCATGTCTAGTAAATTTTGAACTCGAAATTTATGATTATTCGGTGCGAATATTTTCTCCCAACTATCAATTTGAGAAATAGAGGACCATATATCACATGTAAGGTTTAGTAGGCTAAGGTTGGCAACAAGTTAAATCATCTTTATGTCTAGTCAATGTTAAAAGTTCAATTAAGGCTAAACATACACATTTAAGGACTAACATGAATTAAACAAGTGTTGGGGCTTTGTGCAAGCACTGGCCAAATCATTTCTTAATGGCAATGTTTAGATTCCATGAAGTTTAAGAAATAATACAAGTTTTCTCAAACAAGTATTCAAAAAGATTCTAAAATATTTTTGAGATTAGGTATTATTTCCCTAATGATCATGGTACCAAATATTTCATGGCATAATATAATTACGATCTCTTATTATTTAACGAAAAGATTGTCATTTTGAATAACAATAGAATATTATAGAAAGGGATTAAAAGTAAGTGTATCAAAGTCGATTAAATCTTTTAAATAAGTTAAACCAACAAAGTAGAGATCGAGTATTAAAATATAGTTAGATTGTTCAAAGAAAAGGAAAATAAATAAGGGGAAAAGATGAAGGGCTTTCTTTCATTAGAACCATAAAATGTATCTTGTCATCTTTTTAGTGAGAGCCTTTGATACCCTTCTCTTTTCTTTTTCTTTCTTTTGGTAGGGCTCTTTTATAGTCCAAAAGGTCATGTCTAACTCATAATGTGAAAAGACTACATGTTAGTTTTGAAAAGGCTATTTGATAACACGCGACTCACTTCTGGCTGAGGGCTCGAGGCTTGTTGGAGGCATACTAGATTAGATTTGAGGTTGACTTCGATCTGTCTGAGTGCAATTATGCAGGCGATCCAACTTAAAAATGTTTTGTTTTTTTTAGAGAAATCTTGTAAGTTAACGATTACAAAGGGATCTTAGGTTGTATCAATGCGATAATGATTAATGTCATGCCGAGGACTATTTCACCCTATACAAATAGTCCTCCACTTTTCGGATACCTAAATATAATACGTTTGGGAAGTGAAAAAATTCCTGATTATAACTCAAATATTTAAATAAAATCTACGAGCAAGATTAAAGGGTCATCATTGTTATAATACATCCTATGAGAGTATATAAATTCATAATCAAAGTCAAAAATTTTAAATTTCATGAATTTAAGAATAATGATTATAAGTGATTAGGTCTAGATTCCTAATCTAATATTCTTATATATTCAATAATTTTCTAGTAACACATAACCTATTTAAACAAAAATTACTAAGTTCATCCGAATTCATAATCTGACATATGTCTACAACGTCAACATCCATCACACTCTACTCGGGATTAAATTTTTTGAATAAAGAGTTGAGGTAAAAGAGCAAATTTGTGTCAGCCATAGATCACATGATGAAACTACATGGAACTAGAGTGTTGAACAACCTTGTCCACCTAATATGGAATGGGTTAGTGTAATAGAAAAAAAAACCCATTCCATGTACAAAAGTGTCTGGCACTTGTGACTTGTTACTTCATCACTAATTTCCCAACCTGTATGATTGTACAAACTCAGTAAACACCACAGCTATCTCCACTACACTCCTCATCATTCACTCATGTACTCTCTACTCATCATCAATGATTCAATACATGTGTGGTAGAAAGTAGATAAACAAGGACAATCAAAGAGTGTGGAGGTTAGATGAGATTTCTCCTTATACAAAATTTAAAATTTATGAATTTTTTATATTATACTCAAGTCAGTAAAATAATTCTTTATTTATTTTTTTAAAAAAATGATCTACTTTATTATTATTTTTGTCTTTAAAAAAGATGACCATTTCCTTTTTTTTTTTTGAACAATTGAATTTTAGTTTTTAACATGACATGTTTAAGGTCATAAAATTAAAAAAATAGTGTGATATATTTGACATGATTTTAATTTAAAATCACGAGAATAAAAACTCTTTTCTTTATTTTCTTAAATTACGTAGCAAGACAAAATAGGTCATTTTGCCTTTAAATTGAGGAAATAATGCACTCACTATAAAGCAAAAGAAAGTTATGAACTTCCTTGCTATAATGTGTCCTAAGTTATTTAGAGGACTTCTATAATTTACCTAAAGAATATCAAAAATTATTCTACTCGTATGAAGCCATAAACTTAATTAGAAAATTTTGAGTTTGAGTTTCAAAGATATAAAGAAACTTATATGGGAAAGGCTTCTTCCTTTATTGAGCTCTACTTGTTGAAATTCAAATTGATCATCGCTAATATGTGTTATTTGATTATATTTGTGTCTTTTACACTTGATTAAAAAATAGCTTCGATACGCACAACTATTCATATGACAACACTATAAAAACAAATTACTCTTCTAAACATTATACTTATTACCATCGACTTTGAATACCAGATGATTAAAAAAAAAAGGTCGAAATGATTCAAATTAAAAAGTCAGTAACAACCAAAGTGCATGAACCCAGACTTGACTCCTAAAAAATCTCTATATATACCTTCCAACTGTCTTACTTCTTTCCCCATCTCCATCCCCATTTCTTCCAACCCTCTAAAACTCCCTGCAAATATGCCTACTTCTTCACTTTTTGTAGTTTCAAAATGCACAATTTACCCTGATCATCATACATCGCTTAATAATACCTTAAAACTCTCTGTTTCTGATCTTCCTATGCTTTCTTGCCAATACATTCAAAAGGGTGTTTTGTTAACTCAATCTCCTTTTGAATCTTCAAATTCCCTTATTTCCCATCTCAAAACTGCACTTTCGAAGACCCTTTCTCATTTCCCACCACTCGCCGGACGGTTAATTACGGATTCTGATGGATATGTTTACATCCTATGTAACGATGCCGGAATTGATTTTGTACATACCAAAGCACCCCATCTCATGATTTCAACTCTTGTTCCACAAAATCAATCTGATATTCCCATTTATTTCAGAAAATTCTTCCAATTTGATAAAACACTTAGTTATGCTGGACATCATAAACCCTTAATGGCGATTCAGGTTACGGAGCTAAACGACGCCGTGTTCATCGGATGTACCATGAATCACGCCGTCGTTGATGGAACATCCTTCTGGAATTTCTTCAATACTTTTGCAGAGTTTTCAAAAGGGGAGATGAAGATTACTAGGCAGCCGTGTTTTGGGCGTAAAACGGTATTTGATTCACCGGCGGTGCTTAAGTTCCCGGAAGGTGGACCGTCGGCGACTTTCTCCGGCGACGAGCCGTTGCGTGAGAAGATCTTCCATTTTAGCCGAGAAGCTATTTTGAAGCTCAAGCTCAGAGCTAACAAAACGGGAGTTAACGGTAAAACTAACGGAAAGATAACGCCAGTTAATGATGAGACGGGTTTGAAAAACGGCGCGGCTATGAAGAATTCGGCTTCGGAGATTTCGTCGTTTCAGTCGTTAAGTGCTCAGCTGTGGAGATCCGTGACGAGGGCTAGGAAATTGGAAGGGAACAAAACGACGACGTTTAGGATGGCGGTCAATTGCCGACATCGGTTGGAGCAACGGTTGGAGCCGCTCTATTTTGGGAACGCGATCCAAAGCATCCCAACCATTGCTTCGGTTAAGGAGTTGTTATCTAACGACTTATATTGGAGTGCGAATCAGCTACATCAAAATGTAGTGGCGCATGGTGATGTCACCGTGCGCCAAGGTGTAAAGGACTGGGAAAGTAACCCTAGGTTATTTCCTTTAGGAAATTTTGATGGAGCTATGATTACTATGGGAAGTTCACCTAGGTTTCCAATGTATGATAATGATTTTGGGTGGGGTCGACCGGTTGCGGTCAGAAGTGGCATGGCTAATAAATTTGATGGTAAGATCTCCGCCTTCCCCGGACGAGAAGGAAATGGAACTGTTGATCTTGAAGTTGTTTTGGCACCCGAGACAATGGTGGGACTTGAAGAGGACATGGAATTTATGCAATATGTTTCTTAATGGTGTTTATTAATGTGCAAAAAAAATCGAATCAAGGTGTTTAAATGGAAAATTTGTAAGTTTATATACAATGCAAGTTTAAATGGTCATTTCGCAATTGTGTTTTATGTAACAAAATGTGTGAAGATTTATATTGAACAATACTTTTCTAAGTAATTGAAAAAAAGGATCGAAATGAGTCACGAAAATCAACCATAGAATATTTGAAATCACGAAGGGCAAAAAAGTTTTTTTTTTCTTATAAAAATGCTCCCCTTCTATTTTTAGTGGATATGTTCATGTGGTAATTGACCTATTTAAAGATAAAATGAATCATTAAGGTGAATTTATTTAATCTTTTGAGGCTCCTTGCGTTTGTTTTTCATTTTCAAGAACAAAGCTACAAACAAAGGGAAAAAATATTGAATGGTCCAAAATAGAATATTTGGGCCCTTTACTGTCAAGGATAAAATGTGGGGTTAGGCTACAATTAATGGTGCTTGATGCCTTAAACGGCATTTAATAGTTGATTAGAGCTATGCAATTATAGTAATATATATTATTAGGATCATATATTAATTATCTTGTCAAACGTTACATTTGATAGCAAAAATGTTACTTTATTTCTTAACTAAATCAACGAAGCAAAAGCTATATTCGATCATGACTTTGACCCGAGCTACCTAGTTCCTCATGGTCTTGTCAAAGGCATGATGTTGGCATTACCAACACATATAATAGTAACTAAGGGAGTTCGGACTCAAAATGACAAAAGATTGTTAAAAAATTTCAAAGGGCACATTGATTTTTTAACCAAAAGAGCAAAATCGCTCCTGACGAAGCTTTTTCCTTGTGACAAAATACATAATAAAAAAGGTTTCAAGACGCATATAAATACATATCATATACATATTTTCTTTTATATATATAGTAGAAAGGGGAAGCCCGTGCAAAAATCATTATTTGAAATTCATAATGTTTATTGAGGAACTTTCACATGTCGTCACTCAAAAATAGTCTAATTACTCTTCATAGCTATAGTTTGATAATTACAATTCATAGCTACATGTAATTGGGAGGAGAGAGGCAAGCGGGACTGAAGAGAGAGGAGAGAGGCCAGTGAGAGAGGACAAAGAGTAGGAGAGAAATGCATTTTATATGTATATCAGTTAGATAATGTATATATAGCAAGCTAGACTAGAAGAGAGAGGAAGAGGCAAGCGAGATTGAGAGAGGGAGTAGAGAAGCGAGCGAGATTGAGAGAGGGAGGAGAGAGGTGAGCGAAATTGGGCAGAGTAGGAGAGAGGTGAATTATATATGTATATCAATGAGATAATTGTATATTACACATATGTATTTGTATATTTTGGTGAATTATATATATACAAAAATGACTAATTAAACTTACTCGAAGTCATCCCACGTAATTAATGTATAATGTTAGTCGTGAGTGATAATTATAGCAAACTATATCTATGATGAATAATTAAGTAGTTTAAATTTGCTTAACCATGTTATTTTTTCATATTTTTGATATGTAGAAATTTAAAAATTATCTATAATATAATTAAAAATAAATAATAAAAATAAGGATTAATTACGTGAATATACAACTTAAGTTTACATATTCTCCATATTTCCCTTATTTTTTTAAAAAATACTAAAATCCCTATTTTTTAATAAGTCTAATTTAACAGATACATTATTAAATTAGAATCCTAATAAATCCTAACCAATTAAATCTTATCCCTAATTTTACTCTTTATTTTCCCCAAATAAAGAACCCATTTACACCACTCCCAAAATTAATGCGTCAATTTCTCAACGGTTCATCTTCTCAATTTTGAAAATCAAAATTTGTGCTATCCATCCATCAGCCTTCGTTTAATCTTGTCCGCCATTTTTGTCTACTTTGTCAGCCTTTGAAAATCAAAATTGTGCTCTCCGTCCGTCCGTCTTCGTCTAATCTGTCCGCCATTTTTGTCTACTCTGTCCGCCTTAAAAAATCAAATCGCCAATTTCGTCTACTCTGTCCGCCATTTTCGTCCAATATTCTTGAAAGGTATTGTGTTCTTCTTCGATTCTCTCTTTTCATTCTTCTATTTTTCTAATATTTCATGGATCATCTGTCATTTAGTATTGGGATTACTCAAATAATCACTTCAAACTCTAAACAAATCTATATTTTTGAAGATCCGAAATTGGTTGAAAACAAGTCTAAGAGCTTGCATAATTGGTTTGCATTGTGTTGTTACAATTATGTATCAAGCACAATTTATGTTTCATGTATCATGTTAAAGTTTGTCGTTTATATAAAGTATCAAGTAGACAAACTTATAACTATAGTTACACGTATGTATCAATTACAACTTTGCATTTTTTGTATCATGTTAGTATCAAGCAGACAGACTTATAATTGTAGTTACCTTTATGTATCAAGTACAACTTTGCATTTTTTGTATCATGTTAGGCTATAAAGTGTCTGTTAAGTATCATTTTGACTGACTTATGATATGTTGTTAGAACAGATTGGGCAGCATTGGATGCATATAAAGACAAGAAAACTGGAGAACTTTTGGGTCCACAACATTCGTTTAATGTGGAGTTTGCTCAAGACAACATGCAACAAATAAGTGATAGCCTGTGAGTATTGTTTATTATTTTATTTTATTTTTTGTATCTATTCATCCTTATAATTATTCTTATTGTTTTTGTAGTGATTGCGGACTATTCGTAGTTGTATATGCAGAATTCTGAGTGACAAAATCAACATGTCATGTAATAGTTTTAAGAGTAGCTATCTTCGCAAAAGATATGCGATTCTTTTATTGAAGTATGGTCTCGACAAGATGAATGCTGGATATGTTAGCAACAGTGATGACCCTTCAAGAATGAAGAATGTATTAAACCCATCATCTGAAGATGAAATTGTTAATGTAGGCTAGTTAGTTTTCAATGTTTGATTTTTTTTTTATTTTTTGGATTTAAACAAGATGTTTGAAGTATTTATTAACATAACAACACATATTGTTAAATTATGAAAGTGTTTTGATTTTTAAAATTATTTATTCTATTACTTTAATTTTATTTTTATTACCGTTATGAATTCAGGAATTATGTATACTGTTATTGGGACATGAATGTCATTATTGTATCAAAACTATAATAATAATTACATTAATGTAATTATTGTCATAAAAAAACACTTATTATATATACGTAAATATATTGCATGATACAAAAAAAGAAAATTATATACGTAATTATATTTTGTATATGATACATGAAATATCAAAATATATAATATCACAAACAGTGATACTAGTTATTACACTAGATACATGCCAGTTTTTTTTTAAAAAAATTAATATCTTTTGTACAAATAAGATATATTCAGTACTATGATTTATATATATTACGAACAATTATTTGTCCTTCAAAATATGAAATTTTTTTAAGTATCTACACACATGATACTATATTACTAAATTAAATTAAATTAGAACTGACAATAATTTGGGTGAAATATCCGCAATTAATATTGATTAAAGTAAGTTTGAACAAAGATTATAAAATAAAGTATTTGATATATAAATATAATATAAAATTTAAATAGTGTTTAACAAAAAAAAAGAATTAGTCTGCCAAAAAAAAGGGAAGATCACTAATGAAAAATTATAATTTAATTTAGAGTTTTATATTGGATAAAACTGATCTTGAAACACCACAAGTTAATGCTTTTTTTATGGGATTAATAACTGTAGCATATTAAAAGTAGGAATTAATTCAAATTTCAGTTTTTAATCCCCCAAATCACTCAACAAACGGATAAAATAGCATAATATAGAATGTATCCGACTGTTTTATTATGTATCAGAAACTTCTTAAAAATAAGAGATTTTTTGTAAATTGAAAAAAAATAGGGATAGAAGGTAATTTATGTTTTACACTATGTGATTTACATAATTTTTACTAAAAATAAACATGATAAATATAAAATATAAATGAAGCCCATAAGATATTTTCATGACCCCATCTTAGGAAGAATCTTAAGAAAGTTTACAATTGAAATTTTAAATGGATTCCACATTTTTTCATTGGATGAAGAAGAGGTAGCACATAGCAGGTTTATTCCCATTTTTTAATTGGATGAAGAAGAGACGGTATGTAGCATTTTTTGTTTTAAATAAAGAGCATATAGTAGTTAGATAGTAATATGTATAACAACAACAATATATTTCAGTAAATTTCAATTAAGTGAAATCTCGAAAATATTAAACAAGATGGATTTAAATTTTAGCAAGTCCAACCTTGTCATTTTATCACGAGGATCAGAAGAGGATATAAAAATAGAGAATCAATAAAATGGATAGTGTAGCCATCATTTTGAAAGAATTGTGGAAGAAAGATACAATTTTATTTTGAGAATGTACATCGATACAGCTTAATTTTGTCTCAAGATTCTCAACTAGCAACTGAATACTCCAAATCTTCTTCATTGTGTGTCATGGACATTGGAATATAAATTTTTGAAGTATCTAAATAATCATTTTATAAATTGGGTCAAAGTGTTCAACTGACACAATAAGACAAGTTCGGATACATAAATATATATGCTTCAAGTTGGAGTGTGTAACGACCCTTTGGTCGTCTTGAGTACTAGATCTTTTATTTCATAAAAGACTCTTTCGATAGATTCTAAATAGGTATCTTGAACTATTCGCTATTAAATTATAAAATTAGTGGGGTAGATTTAATAATTAATTTAGTTGGTGATTAAAGAAGATAACATTAAACCTAGTAATGGGCCACTTTCACCCCTCTTATAATTATTTATATAATAATTAGCGTAAAATGAATCTGTAAAAGAAAAGAAAAGAAAAAAAGAGGAGAATAACAAAAAGCACCGTGAATAAAAGAACATGAGTGACTCGACTAAATCAATCACGCCTCTTAAATCTTGTTTACATTGTGGGTTGTTTCATATCATGATATCAATTATTATATAATGAATAGTGAAAAGGAGGTCGAAAAAGTGAATTGGAAAATATTAAAATGTTAGATCTTTAACACTATGTTTGGATCATTGTTACCCATTGTTTCATAATGTATTGTATTGTATTGTGTTTTATTGTACTGTATTGAATGGTAGATATAATGTTTGGCTAGACTGTATTGTTTGTTGTTGTTTAATAATATTTTAATTGTTTGATATGATTTTATCGAACTGTATTGTATTTTATAAATTTACAAAAATATCTTTAATTATTCTAGAGTAGGAGGTTGACTAGATTTGAATAATTAAAGGTAAAAGGTAAAATAGAATTGTGAAATATTATGTAAATACATAATTAAAGAAAAAGAAATTCAGTAACAATAGGAACACACCAAATTGGTTGTTCCATAAAATAGGGGTTTTCATTGTTACGTAATAATGAAATTTGACAATACAATATAATACATTTTAAGTAACAATCAAAACAAACATTATAGATATAATAACGATACAATACAATAAAATGAGTAACAATGATCCAAACATAGTGTAATAGTTAGGCAAGACAAATAATAGTTGATAATAATTGTCATAATGTTTGGCAATGATGAGATAATAATAATAAAAAAATAAAGGATGTGATTATTATAGAATAGACCAAATTCAATTCATGGCAAGAAATTATACTTCCTAGTTACTGGTATTAATGCCAATGACCTTTGATGTTCGAGTTTTTGTGTGTATGTTATCAAATTATAATTCAAGTTTAAATTTATTGAGAAAATAATAAAATATTGGATGTATTATTTAATTTTAGTATCAATAAAGTTATGATAATTGGAGAAATTGAGACTTGTTTTTGGATTTAAACTTTAGAAAATTGATCATATATTGAAATGGGTTATTGAATCTAGGTTTGGTATAAATATAGCAATATGAGTGTTATGGACTCATTTACTTACAAATAATGCATACTTGATAGATTGGGAGCATTCCAAGACATCCAAGGAAGGAAAAGAATTTGTGGCTTGCTTGATCTTGGTTCTTCAGTTGAGGTAGGTTATGATTTAGTCTATTTGATAGATAGATTCTTAATAGTGATTGATATGCGTTGAATGATATTGTGAAGTCCTCTATGTACTTGATTGTGTGATTGTGTAGCTTGGTCGTGCGATTTGTGATTAGTCTAAAATCCTGAGACCGTGAAATTTATAATCTTGAGCCTCTCTATAGAAGTTATGCCTTGAATAAAGAAGGCTCGATAAATATTGTTAATGCAGTCAAAAGTGGTGATAATAAATGATAAATTCACAGTATTATTGGATCGGAGTGTCACGTTTCTACACGATATAATGGATCAGAGTGTCATGTTTCGACACGGTATAATTGGATTGGAGTGTCACGTTCCGATGGGTTAGTATTGGATCGGAGTGTCACGTTTCGACACGGTATTGATTGGATCGGAGTGTCACTTTCTGACACGGTAACATAAAGGAAAAAGATTGATACCAATTGAAGAAACCTTACCCCAGAACAAGAACCAGGTTCTTGTAAGTTGCTTTTAAGTAAAGACACAAACACGTATTGAATTAAAAACCTTCCTCACTCAAGGAAGGAAAAACCTCGTTTTATTAAATCAATTATAAGATTTTGTGATTACAACTCAATAATCAAAAGTCTTATCTCTACTACCTCCCTCGACTGACTCCAATCGATCTCTCCAAAAGGCCAAACCCACCTTTTGTTACAACTCTTACTAACACTCAACCCTACAAAGAGTCAAACCCACCCTTTGTACAATAAACTATATATTACAATCAAAACAAAAACAAGACAAATAGTTCTACACAATAAAACCTTCTCACTCAAGAATGTTTTAAAAGTAGCAATCCTATCAACCTTGAAGACTTCAATTTGATGAATAATTCTCCTTTGTTCTCTGCGTGAAGTCGTCTTGTTTTCCTCTGCCTCGTGCTCTTCTTATAGAGTTTTTTTCCTTGTACACTGATAAGGTAAGAAAGTTATGTTTAAACAAGAATTCTTTTTTAAATTAGAATCCTTATTATACACAACTTCCTTCCTTAATAATATATTTAAGGTTTTCTTTATTTGTATTAACTTGTACCTTTAATATATTATTTTGGCTTTTACAAATAATTCTATTTTACTTGATCTTGGACTCTAGCTTGACTTCTTTTGCTGCGTACATTTGCTACTGTTCTTTGCGCTTTTTGTCTATCATCAAAATGAATTATCGATTCTATCACATTCTATCATATTCCCCCCTTTTTATGAAGACAAACGTGTAACGTGTGATGCATGCACAAATAACTCTTCCCCCTTTTGACGAATCAAAAAGAAACCAACAGCAGCTAATCAACACTAATCAATATCCATAGCAACAAAATACGCCCAGCCAGTTGAGCAATATAACTTGTTCTGGCAACAAAACAAAGAGCAACAATACAGAGTGAAACCAACTAAGAGAACTAGGTTCAACAACATGCTTTGTCATTGTGGAGGTTGACCAGGCTTAGTTGAAGCAGAAGCCAGCATATCCAAAACCCTGTCAACTCTTGCATTGTTAGCAAGTTGCTGCTGCACCAACTGATCTTTCAACCTGTGTATTTCAGCATTGATGAATCAAGCTCAGCACGTAACTTCTGGTTGCCTGATTCAAGAGAGGCGTTCTTTTCTTCAGCTACTTTAAGTTCCCTAAGTAACTGAGCAACAGGACCAGATGTACGTGGAGACGCAGTTGCAACCTGCTCCGACTCCATAGGAATGCCACAATCAGCAAGGATAGTTTGAGTGAACACTCTAGTCAACAAGTCAACAAGTTTCCAAAAGCTAACTGATGAGAACACTCTAGTCAACAAGTTTCCAAAAGCTAACTGATGAGAACCTAACTTAGGATCCACAATTCTAGCAAGATGTTTGATAATCAGTGTAGGCCAATCAATGCGCTCTTTGCACTCAAGTGCATTCATAAGTCCCATGTCTATTATGGAGGCAATGTGACGTTGGTGACCTCTAGGCAGTATCACCTTATGAACTATCTCAAAAAGAAGCTTATGCAAAGATCACATTATTCTCTTTAAAACAGTTTGAGCCCTAGAATTGACTCTACCTTGAGAGAATTTGGCTGGCAGACTAGAATATTCATCAAAACCCCAATTGTACTCATTTATCCCACAGATGGTATATGCAAGATTTCACCAAGCTTGGTTGCATCAAACACAATGTCAACCCCCTTTACACTAGACGACACCACATCTCCTTCTAGGATTACCAGGTTCGTATAGAAATCGACCACTTCCTTTTCATAAATCAAACTAGGTTCTAGAAATAACTCCTCCC